GAGAGAGAGAGAGAGAGAGAGAGAGAGAGGGAGAGGGAGAGGGAGAGGGAGAGGGAGTAAAAGAGTGGGGGAAAGAGAAAAAAACGCTAGAGTACCAAGGGAGAGGAGATGAGATCGAGAAAACCAATAAAAAAAAAAGAGTTGCAGGAGTCGATCGAAAGATTACGAAACCAGCAGTGGAAGAAATTGGATAAAAGTGCAACAGGAGAAGAGAGGGGAAGAGAGAGGGGCGAGCGAAGAGTTGGCACACTTACTGCCTGGTTCGTTGACACCGCCTTAGGAACCTTTGGCTCCGTGGCACGCCGGCTGATCTTCGTCGTAGCGGGAAACCACGCCGGCTCTGGACTTCTCGTAGGGGTGGAAGGAGTGGGGGGCATCCGTGTCCTGCGTGGAGAGCGAGGCTGGTGCGTAGGGCGCGCTATGCCCGCCGTGAGATGGGAGAGAGGCTGAGGAAGAGGGACTCGAGAAGAGGAGGTTCTCAAGAGGGACCTGGGAGCGCGGGACACGAGTGGGTCTGCTAAGTACTCGTTATAGTTTTTCGTAGTTTAAGGATATGGAGCAACCTGTTTGGTTCTGGCCTTCTGGAATGTTCCATGCCCGAGCGACATGCCCGCGAGGAGGTCGCTAACGGCGAAAAGAGCAAAATCCTTGAAAATTATCGGTTTCTCCTCACAAATGATCCGCGCTTGATTGAATTAATTGATCCAAAATCGCCTGAATGCATTTATTTCCACTCAAAGGTCATGCACGGCGACTCAAGGCGGTAAAAACCGTAGCTGGCCACCCTCCCCCGGCCGGCTCCGTATATATCGCGCCGCGGCTCGTGTTCCTCAGTAGTTGGTCCTGGACCGGTGGAGTGATAAGTAGTGAGTTGGCCCTCAGTCGCCATCATTGCAAGGAAGCTCCCACAGACCTTACAAACCCGCCTTTCGCTGCGAGCAAATGAACCTGGCACCCCCCCACAGCCAGTCGCCAAGGCCCGCCCCGCCCCGCCGATCGAACCAGTAAACCGCGTGTCGTTTTCTGGTTGTCTTTCGCTTTCCAAAACGCCAAGCCTGGAGCGCCCGCCGACTCACGGGCTGGAGCGTGACTTTGAGGCCAATGGTGACCAGACTACCGACGTGCTCTCGTGCGATACACCCGTAGCAACGCCTTCGTATCTACTGAAGAAGTCCCCGTCGAGTTTGGATCGTCCTCCTACACCATGGCACTTGTTATGTGTGGTAAATATCCCGGTTGTGTGTCTCCGTTTATTTTTATTTGATTTTATCTCGTGGTTAATAATGGCTGGAGTGACGTTGGTGTAGGGAAGTACATATTTTGATGAGTTTTACAGATTTGTATTTCATTTGTGGTTCGTATTGTTTAGGGGTTGTTATACGGATTTATTGTTATGTATTTCATCTCTGTCACGTCATTTAACCCAAGAGTAAATCCCTGGACTCCCACAAAGGAAAAAGAGATAGTTAAAAAAAGAAAGTTTGTGTGGGAACTTCAACGCGAAGTGTGAACGGTTCCTGCCGGCGAAAATCTACGGGTTGCACGCGCCGCTTTTCAGTTCCCAGTGACATTTTTTCCTTGACACGTACGGAGTTACTACGCTTATTCTCTGGCCTTGGATGGCGTTAAAATTATTGCAGGTTACGGCGTTATTGCATCTCCTTCCTCCTCTTTACCCCCCCTCCCTCCCCCCACTTTTACCGTATGTTGCTTCTGCACTGTCAAGGCCGATTGTATGTTGATTATGCATGGTGCAAATGAGCGAGGTTAAGAGAATTTTGAGTTGCAGGGTAATGGTTGTGTGTGTGTGTGTGTGTGTGTGTGTGTGTGTGTGTGTGTGTGTGTGTGTGATGTGTTTGTTGATGTTGTGCGCATGTATTTTTTTATGGGTTAATTACTTCATTCATTCCAGTTATTCTTCTGTTCACACTTAGTAGTTGTTGTTTCTTATTATCCACTATAGTGTTATAGTAAGTAGTGATTGAATTGCGATTAATAAAAGGGGGCGATTTTTCAACATGGTACAAAATCCTACACCTTTTCTTTATTTTATTATTTACTTAACAATTATTCGTTTCTGTAAGCTTTCAATATTGAAAGTATTATTTCAACCTTATATTCCTTTCTCATCCGGAAGAACCATATATGGAAAGCCACAAACCTCTTGATTATCTCAAACTACTAAAACTTCGGAACGTTGTTTGTCTCCCTTGATAATTTCACCTGAGATAAGTTTCACTAATTAATTATGTGACGCCATTATGTCAGCGTTGATGATACCTCAAGAGTAGAGATAGCGATAAGGGAGGGGGCGAGGAGATACTAGAAGATAAGATGAAAGATAGTTTACATACGGTCGTGATGGCGGACGCACGGATCGCGGTTCGATTATGATACAAATTCAATTGTTTCGTTCCCCGGCTCGAAAAAATATAGGCTCGAACGTGTTTTAAAACTGCGTGGAAATATATACTCTCTTTTATCATTATTTTTTCCCTTGCGTCTTCGTTTATGTTCGTTATTGCATTCATGGGAGGTATTGACTCCGTTTGTCAAGCCCGCCGCTGATCCTCTGAGTGTTGCCTGGTTAATGCTTCCTCCTGACACTCGGCAACTTGGAGTGTGTTCCTGAGGCGATTAGAGGTGAAATCCTGCCCGTTCTGAGGAGGATTTTGCACCTTAAGGAAGTGAACGGCAAATATGCTGTCGACTTTCACTGGCAGTTTCCTCATGTCGTGGATTTAGGCGCCGTCACTGCCCAGTTGCAGCATGACTAGGAACTACACTGTATGCGTTCGCCCTTCCTTCCCTTTTATTCCTCACGAACGAAGAACTAAAACGTAGATGCTTGTGCTCGGGATGAGGCGATATACTCTGATGTCGTATCATGAAGGAAAAAATCGTATCCGAGATAGTCACAGCAAAAGGAGAGAAAGAAAGATTTTCCTGTTTTGGGATGTGACTTTTGTGTTGAACGGTTGATGGATAAAACTTGTTATGGCTTACAGTTATTTTTCAAGTCGATGACATGTTATGCGGAACTGGAAAGTCACTGTGGAACATCCGTTTTGATGAGCTAATCCGTAGAACAACAGAAAACAAAGATAATGATGTACTGTGCTATTGTGCTATGACAAGTTCACCTGGACCTTCTTACAAGTATATGTTCCTCCTCGATATCTGCCCAATAACCCATACCACAACCGTAGTCATGTCCACAGCTCAACAATATAACAACAGATTCTCTGTCTCTCTCTCTCTTTCTCCCGAAGAAACACGAACCATGCGTACCTTTCATGATATTGCTGTTCCTCGAGTCACATGTTCTGGGGACCAAGGGTCATGCTGAATGTGTGATTAGGATACTGTGGCCTTCGTCTTTTCTCCAGAGTGAATACGATTTCCATATATCAACAATAATGAGAGCTTTTCCTGTGTTTACTTAGGGAAGTATTCAGTGGTTGGGGTTGTGTGCAGAATAAATATTGAGTAGGATTAGGAATGGAGAGGGAGTCATTGGGGATGTTTGGTGTGCTAGTATGAAAACAAAAGGACATTTCTTTGTGAAAGAGAAGATATATTGATGTATATTTTGTCTCTAATTATTTCAGAATAGACTGAATCCAATTATGTGAAGAAAAAAACAGAAAACAAATGGAAAGAATAATCAGAAAGACAGTATATACCTAGTATTGATGTGAAAATTCAGAAATCAAGGATGAAGAAATTTCTCCCGCAGCTGATATTGGCTTATCCTTTGATTCCTATTAAAACCTGATTCTTTATGTTATCACTGGAAATTTGTCAATATTTATTGAATAGTTAATTTACTTTCATAAGGTTGCATTTTTAAACAATTTAGGTTTTATGTTTGGGTCATTGTAGACCCTTATGACATAAAACCATTTGCTTAGAATAAATCAAGTATTTGTTGTTTCAAAATACATAACATAAAGAAAGCAACAGGTATTTCCTAAGCCCTCCTATCCTTATCCTCCCTGAAATCCTCCTACCCAGTCCATTCCCTAATCCTTCCAAGATGCTGACCTACGACCTTATTGCTGATGTTTACCCTGCCGCTTTTGCAGCCACGCGTGGTGTCGCCTGCCGGCATGATGAGGGCAAGAACCACCCTCATAGATCACGGTTAACCAAACGGCAGCAGAATCAGAGCGGCAATCAACACCACAGTCGTCGCCAACAGAAAAGCAAGTCCCAATCACCACTCAGGCAGTACACTGAAGATTCCTGTGACACCCCTGGGTACACCGACAGTGTTCAACACAGATACCCAGAAGAGCAGGAAATTCTCTATGACACAAGCAACAACAACGACAGAAATCGACTTGATCTCAACAACCTGAAGGTAATGTTTCAAAATAGTTTATTTTCATGTGTTTGTATTGAATCCCTTATTTTCATGTGTTTGTACTGAATCCCTTCATTCCCAAAAACAGTGTGATTTATCTTTTTTTGGAAATGCAGATTAGAAGGAATCGTTCGTATGATCTAATGAAAGTACTCAAATCTTTCCAGATTGTGAATGGAAAATCAGTACATGTTCCAGTTTCTGCTTACCCCAAATCCTTCATTCAGTGGCCCGTTGACGGCTCCACAAAGAACAAGCGTATTGCAGAAGTAAAGAAACAGGTATGGGCTGCTGCTGAAATGCAGTATGCAAAGATGACTATGGTATCATATATAAATTTTGTAGTCTTAACCAGCCAAAATGTTAATGAAAAATTTCCCTAAATTACTTATTATTTTAACAAATCAGCTGACATCACTTGCTTCTTTCCTCCTAAAGGTGAAACTTCTAGGAGAACTCATCAAAATGACTGTTGGGGGAGGCCAGCACGATGAATCCCTCGCAGATGACAAGACCCCCTCCAACCCCCCACCCTTCTCTGACCATGTTGACATGTCCAGAATCCCTGCTTATGCTCTTGTCCACTCAGCCGAAGATGGCTCTCAGCCCAAGTGGGATGACATCAAGGAGCTTATTAATGCAGGCAAAATGAAGGAGGTAAATATATGGATGGATATTTGCACTTTTTGAAGTTGTGGATGAATTGAGAGAGGAATAGCTAGATGAAGTTTTGGAATGGAACAAATTTGTTAATTTTGTGTATAGCAGTTTTTTTTTTGTGTTAGCATATATTAAACAAAGTTGAAGATGAATACCGGGGATCATTATCATCTTTAGATAATATGTTTACTAATACACATGTAAAATTCCCAGGCCAAAATTATGGTACGTGAGGCTGATTGGAGTCTTGCCAGCCCAGTCCGTGAGGAATTATGGAAAGAAATGTGCCGGCATCATTCAACAGAAAAAGACTTCAGCGATTATTACTACTGGGACACTGTCAAGCAGATTTATGGAACCACTGGTAGGAGGTTTTCTTATGAATATAATGTTTTGTTGACATTAGTATGTTTAATGAATTGCAAAGTATGAAATTTCCTTTAGATTTAACAGCCCAGAATATTCCACAAAGGAAAGGTATGAAATTTATATTCTAGATATTTATTTATTACCAACAGAGCTCAGTGAGTGCCATGCGCAACTACCAGCCTTCATTGACACCCACCACACAGTCTCTCACTGCCTGTCTCCAAGAGGAGTCTCTGCCTGTGAACGTGTCATCTCTGTCATTGCTTTCTCCCACCCAGCCATCACATATGCACCATCACTTTATTCTCTGACATCTGTACTCCTACATTACATGGATGGTAAGTTTTTCATATATTATAGTCATTCATGGCAGCAATTGTTGAGTTTTGTTTGGTATGAGATTTTGTTTTCTGTAAAAATTAGTATTTATAGACTTTGTAACAATTCTTGTTTGCAGAAACCGATGTGTACAACTGCATGTCTGTGTTGGTTTCTGGTGCCCAGAACAAATTCATCACACAGACCAAAGTGTCCCATGAAGCCACTTGGAGAGCAGCCATGATCCTAGCCAGAAAACACATTGTAAGTTCAGTTATGATATCTTTCATGGTTATAAAATCAGAAGCTGTATTTGTTTTCATATTTGTTAGATAATTTTTGACTGAGTAATAACATTAATACCTTTATTCTTTTACAGCGAGGTTCCTTCTCAACTCTTTCTAAATTTGGAGTCACCCAAGAACAGATTGAAGAAGGATTTCAGAATTGGCTTTGGTGGATCCTTGCTTCACTTCCTCTGACTCACTTGGTGTGTTTCATTGTTTATCTGAGTTCACTTGGTATTTTATTCCTTTATGAATTATGCATTCTATAAACTAAAATATACACAATATAGTTCATTAATATTATTGTTTCCATTACAACAGGTAAGAGTTCTTGACTGCTTCCTTTTTGAAGGGGCTAAAGTTTTGCTTCGAACTGCTCTTGCAATCTTCCACCTCTTTGTCAAGGCAGTTATGAATGATTCTTCCATGGCAGCGTCCCTTCCTTCACGTGGACTCAAAGAAGCTATTTGCCGATTTTGTCAGAATATCCAAGTAAGTTCCACAATATTTGAAAAGATGTGACCAAAGTAAATTACTTGCATATTTTGTGATTCTTAAGTATAACATGAGGACCCTGTTAACACTTCACTTAAACTAATACATAGATTTTTCATCCTCAGGTGCCCACACAGAAATTACTAAAAACAGCTTTTGGCATCCGTGGATTTAGCAAGTCTGAAATCACCAAAGTTATTGTCCAGACTGAGATGTTCCTGAAGAGCCAGCGCAGCATGGGTGGCACAGGGAGTGGATCTGGTGTGCCAGAAGTTCCAACATTAACACGTTCGGTGTCCCTGGAAGGCTTGCCAACATCTGAAACCCAGGCTGATATTCAGATGATGTCCCATACCTTAACAATCAAGGAGGTGAGTTGAAAGCTAATGGAAGATGTAGCCATACATGCTGTATTTTATACTTGTGCACACCGTCCTGGGATTTTTTGTAGTATAGAGGTTGTTCCCTGAGATCTGTAACATATTTTGTAGCAGCTAAAACTTAGCATATGGGAATAAATACATTTCCATCCCATAAATTTTAATTTTTGGTATGTTCTTGATTTTTTTATTTTTTTTATTATGGAGACCCATGTGCTTTTAGGTATCTTCCTTCCCGCTAAACTTTCTCACTAACAGAATTGACCTTCTTAAACTCTTTTTCTATTTCTCTAAAACAGTCTGCAACAGGAAATCACTTGAGTGTATGTATGCTTTTTTGAATAATATGTAGACCATCCTCTTCTAGCTTAAGAGATTCTCTTCCTTCTTATAACATGAAAAATTGTTTAAGATCATCAATTTTAATTTCTCGTTTTTTATTACATAATTAAGCGTCCTTTTCCAAGAGAAAGGATGAAATTTTGTATTTTACTCTTGGCTTATACAATGTGCTTTCTAAGCAGCTTGTAATTATTAATACAAGTGAGATAAATTGTGTCTTTTGGAAGTGGCTATGTTTGCATTAGATTCAAGCAGATAGTCAAAATGTCGGATGCTTTTTTATTGGTATATGTTGAATGTCTGCTTGATGATTTTGCCTTCTGCAAGGGAGTATAATCTCCGTGAACTTAAAAATGTCTAGTGTTCACAGAAAATTGCAGCCAAGGTTGGCCTTTATTTAACATATTTCAAAAAGTTTCTTCCACAATGATTTTGTGTGCAATTATTTATAGCTTTGTGTTGGTTCTACTGTTTTGCTTTAATTCTAACTAACCCCTTCTGCGCATGCTTACAAAAGGGAGCTCGCTCACCTGCTCCTCGTGTGCGAGCCATGGGTCAATACCCAGTTAATAACGTCAAATCCATGATTGTCGTCAAAGATGAGGTTTGTTGGTTTTGGGCTGTCCTTCTTTTTTTCCTACTTGGATGCGTGTTGATAAGGAAGTTTCTTGGCAGAGGCTTTTGTTCTTGGACAATATTTGCAGAATTGGATATAAAGTGGTATGAGGTTTGAATGGTATTTTTGTTTTTTCTTTTTTATTTGTAAGAGTAACATCTGATAGTGCAATTTAGCAAAAATATATTTATGTATTTTACCTGTTCCCTCCAGCTTCTGACTTTGTGGTCATGGCTACCTGTGAGAATGACAATGCATCAGCCTTCTCTGATTTACACCACAGAAGAACATGGCTGTTCCCTCACAACATTCTTCCAGGTATGTTGCTCTATGTGTCTGACTTCATGGTCAACATTTTAGTTTTTCTTTTTATCAATATTTTGTGTATATTTCATTTGAACATGTGGTTCTAGGATATGGTCATTGTCAACATTTTAGATTTTCTTTTTATTAACATTTTGTGCATATTTCACTTGAACATGTGAAATATATGGTTCTAGGACCATATTCTGGTATAGATATCTAGGATCTGTGATATGATACTATTCTCTAATTCTAATTTTTTTATTGCCATAACAGCGTGTGGAGAAGCATGAACCAACTCTCATATGCATACGAACGGTAAAAGACCATGTCTTTGGTGCCTATTGTTCCACGGCTTGGGAACAGCGCAACCTTAAGGACGAATTTGGGAACCGCCAGACCTACTTTGGAACGGGAGAATGTTTCTTGTTCAGTCTGCGGCCTACTGTTGCCAAATACCAGTGGGTTGGCATATCTAAGCAGCAGCAGAATTCAGAATTGTCTTCAGTGGAACATTCATCAGAGCTCTTCATGCATGCAGACAGCTACATGATCACCATTGGTGGAGGGTAAGTAGATTTCATTTGGTTTGGTGTGTACTGCAAATCATGCTTTTAATGTATGTTTGAATATTTACACTTCTGGTATATGTTTAAGATTGTGAAAAGTTAATGAAGATTGTTTACTTATGTGAGTTTCTAGCCACAATCTTATAACCTTATTTCATATCTCTTGGCAGAAATGGACAAGGCATCATGCTGGACCAAGAACTCCGCTTTGGCAAAACGGAAAAGTGCAACACCTTTGACAATCCTCCTCTCACACCTGATGTTGACTTTGAAGTGAAGGTCATTGAGGTTTATAGCTTTGCAAACGTGTAAGACCAAATATTTTAAACTTCACTAGAAATTTGTATTGTGATATTTTTGATTGTTCATTTATCATGGAACAATATAGATTCTGAATGGACTTTTGGATAGAGAAAACCGAGGATTTTTCAAGCTAATGAATCAAGAAAAAATCATTTTTACAGCCAACTGAACTATATTTTCTTTAGTGTATTTTTGCTAAGAGAATAAAGTAAAGTAGTTTAGAATACTCATGTTACCATACAATTACAAATTACCGAATAGGTAAGTATAACCCAAAGAGCATAGTTAATATAACTACATAGGATACTCATGCCTACTTAAAGATAATTACTGAATAGGCCATTCATAATATTAAAGTGTGAAGTTCATCCCCAGAAATGTTGAACCTAGTCAGGAAAATGCTATGATATTAATGTCATTATCGGCATGACAGGAAGCATATTCATGATTTTAGAGGTTATAATTTTTTTCTCCCTACTTATTTATTTGTAGAATGCAAGCAGTTTTAAGTGAAATAAGTTAAGTAGATACGTTTAAGCTTTAGGAGCAGTATGTGAAAGAATGTGCAAAAAAAGTGTAGCACATGAAATACAGTAAATTAGGGCAATTTACCGTTTTAAAGAGATGGTAAAGCAATAATGAAAAGGAAATTTGGTTGTAGTGATGCATTTAGAATCAAAAGGATTTCAACATAACCAAATAATAGTGATATAAGAAGATAAGATGAGAAGAAAACCTGCAATATTGCATGAATTAGTGCTAAAAAGTAGTTGTGACATTGGATTTAGATACAAAAACATTTTTATGGAATTGATGTACATCAGCCTAAAAGTATTTACATACTGACATTTTACGAATACAGAATCTCAAGTGACTTTCAATCATTATATGGTCAGCTTGTAAATCTAAGTGTTTATTAGTAATTTTAAATGCATACACTAGGCACTTTTGGCTTCTTTGTAGAGTTGCATCTGACAAAACTAGTTGCT